TCTTTAGGTTCATTTGGCTTCTCATTAGTTGGAACCTCCAATTATCTTGGTAGAAATTTGATTTTTTTTTTCTCGTCTCATTACACTTCTCGGTCAGTCTTTGTTCGCCGTGCCTTCTCTTCTGGTTACACCATTTCTTTGTGAATGCCCACTTTGTTCTTGGTCGTGCTACTTCCGCTAAATCATTTTTTTCCACAAGGACTATCTATTTGCTCCAAACTGCTACACTTGAAAATTTAGCAGTTCCAAGATTCCTGATGTCTGATTGAGTTGGTATACTAACTTTTGATGACCGTCATGTATGCAGGAAGGGCATCCACCATTTTCTTTGAAAGACTTTATGAAGAGCTAGGTGAGCCAATTTAGGAACATGTTTCCACTACTCACAGGAGCAATTACTGCATCTTGAATTCCACTGGCAGCTGGATTCGCATTGTCTGCTTTCGGAAAGCAAAAAATGGAATGGCTGATCATGGATTCTGTGACGTTTTTAAGACCTCACGAGTCAGCCTCAGGGCAACTGTGAGACATTAAGTTTTACTGAATACCACGATACCAGTTGTAGCGATTTGTTTATACTTAAAAATGTCATAAACGAATGCGTTAGTCAAATGCTCTGTTTACATGAAAATTCTTATGCACTCGACATTAGAAGAAGATTAGATCTGGGAGAAAATGTTCTAAAAAGATGGTGATGTAAATAATTGACCTGTAAGTGGATTTTCTTAAATTTAAGAAAAAATTAAAAGAAGATAAATAGAGTTTTTCCCCAGCTGGATAGGATATAAGGTTACACACTCTATCATAGAACTTGAGCCAACCAAAACAAGCTGTTTCTAACTCTTGACCATCAAATAATCACAAGAAGATCCACATTGTGGCTAACTGGTGGTTTGCTGTCTCCACGACTTTCCATTTTTTCGTGCTGCTCCTCAAGGTTTCATCTCTTTTCTCTTTTTTGGAGAAGATTTTACTCAACATTATTGAGTTCATTATGCGAATGATTTCTCAATTATTTGAAATTATTTAGTAAAGTTATATTTTATTTGCTTATAACAAAAATCAGTTAATTATTTTTAAAGCGCTCAAACGATCGCTCAACTATTTCCATAGCACTCAAAACTTTCGGTGGCAAAATACATATATAAATTTTTCCATAGAACTCTATAAATTTTTAATGCTTTTTAAATAACATTATTCTTCTCATTTTTACTCTTTATTATGGATTTACGTATAGAATAAATAAATTTTTATTTATGAAGCATAAAAAAAAAAAATCATGCATATATGATGGAACAAAATAATTGAGCAAAGTTTTCGAGCATATATAATATATATTATAATTATATATTTATTTTAATTAATTATTTTTTGATATTACATGCATGGAATATATACTTTAAGAGCTTTTATTCTCATTCACTTTCAACTGTGTAAATGATTTGTAAGTTTTGTTGTTATTATCAAGATTATACAAACGAATTATTCTAATTAAAATATTTTATCGTGCTCACTTATTTTATTCATCAATTTCAGTTACTTAAACTCTTATTTTGTAATTAAAATATAAATTTTAATATAATAATTTTAAAAAATTACTTATCGCAATAAGGTACACGCGCAACATGCACATGTTAAAGACTAGTTATATAGCAATATACATAGAAGGGTGAAGGGATTGGGTTAGTTTCAGTAGCATTTCACATATTAGGCCGAATTTTAGCTGCATTAATCCTAAACAATATTTTCTTACGGAAATTACAATCTATATTTATTTTTTTATTTTTTAAATTAGTGAGTAGTTGCGGAAAGGAAAAAAAAAGCAGAAGTTGTTATAAATATATTATATTATGGATGTTCATTTAGTACTCCGTTGTAAATAAGCTTCCTGAAGAAGTTTATTCATATGGGACTCCACCGTAAATATGTTTATCTATTTAGTACCCTATTGGAAATAAGCTTCCTGAAGAAGCTTATCACTTCGGTACCCAGTTATGGATAAACATTACCCCCGGTAGAAGATTATCCATACCGGGTATAATAAGCTTATCCATTCAGTACTCCGTTATGGATAAATATTGCTCTCAGTAGAAGATTATCCATATCTGGTACAGCAGCAGCTTACACAGCAGCTTGTAGCAGCTTACACAGCAGCTTGTAGTAGCAGCTTACACAGCAGCTTATAGTAGCTTACACTGCAGCTTGTAGTAGCAGCTTACACAGCAGCTTGTAGTAGCAGCTTACAGAGCAGCTTCCTTTCTTCTATAAATAGAAGAGATTTCAGTTCATTATGTACATCAGTTTGAATTCGAATAATATATCAGTTTCTCTATATACTTGTCTTTACTTTATAGTCTTTATTTTATAACACGTTATCAGCACGAAGCTCTACCATCTCGAGCAAATATTTTGAAAGTATCTGAGGTAAGAACTTTCTTTTCCTAAATAATGTCAAATCTTTCTAAACTTGAATTTGTAGCCCTGGATATATCGGGCAAAAGCTACATGTCTTGGGTGCTTGATGCTGAAATTCATCTTGATGCGATGGGTCTGGCAGACACCATCAAGGATAAAAACCAGGCATCAAACCAAGACCGTGCCAAAGCAATGATATTCCTACGCCATCACCTTGATGAGGGCCTGAAAATGGAATATCTCACTATTAAAGATCCAGTCATACTGTGGAATAATTTGAAAGATAGATATGACCACCTGAAGATGGTCGTTCTTCCACAGGCACGTTATGATTGGACTCATCTAAGGCTACAAGATTTTAAATCTATCAGTGAGTATAATTCTGCTATGTTCAGAATTATTTCCCAATTAAAATTATGTGGTGATAATATTACTGATCATGATATGTTGGAGAAAACTTTCACCACTTTTCATGCCTCGAATATGCTCCTGCAGCAGCAATATCGAGAGATGGGATTTAAAAAGTATTCTGAACTTATCTCACATCTTCTTATAGCAGAGCAACATAATGGGCTATTAATGAAAAATCATGAAAGCCGACCTATTGGTTCTTGTCCATTCCCTGAAGTGAATGAGACGAACTTCCACCAAGCTAAACGTGGAAGAGGTCGTGGCCCCAGTCGTGGTCATGGCCGTGGTCGGGGAAGAAACCCCAATCATGGTAATAATAATGCACCAAAGAAGCCTCCTCACCACCAGCAGTGGAAAAGGAAGGAACAAAAGCATGAAGCGGTGCAAGCGCCAAATGCAGAAAATGCATGCTATAGATGTGGAGGAAAAGGGCACTGGTCACATACTTGTCGTACGCCAAAGCACCTGGTTGAGCTTTATCAAGCCTCCCTGAAGAAGACAGAGAAAAATGCTGAAGCAAATTTTATTTCTGAAGATAATTTAGACTTCATGCATTTGGATGTAGCTGATTACTTTGCACTCCCAGAAGGAGAAACAAGTCATGTAATCGGTAGTGAATCTGTAGAAATGTAAATATTTTAATTTTTGTTGTTTGTAATAGATAGTATGGTTATGTAATTGTTATACATAAATAAAAGTTATGCTTTGATAATGATGTTTACTATAATATATTTTATTTATGTTATTTTGAAGAATATGGATAACCCTCAAATTATGTTTGGATCAAAGACAAAAATCATGAAGATATTTGTGTTATTGATAGTGGAACAACTCATGCCATATTCAGCGATCAGAAATACTTTTCTTATTTTCATAAGGAAAAAGCAAATGTTTCAATAATTTCTGGTAATATAAGTTTGATTGAAGGCCCTGGAAGAGCCATAATATTTCTGTCTAAGGGAACAAAACTTATTATAGACAATGCATTGTTCTCCTCCAAGTCCCGAAGAAACTTGTTGAGTTTTATAGATATCCGCCGAAATGGGTATCATGTAGAGACAATAGATGAAATGAACAGGGAATATCTTTGTATTACAAAGAATATTGGCCAGAAATGCATTGTAGAAAAGTTACCAACTTTATCTTCTGGCTTATACTATTCAAAAATTAGTACAATTGAAGCACACTCTATCGTAAACCAGAAGTTTACGGATTCAAATACTTTTGTGCTTTGGCATGGCCGTTTGGGCCATCCCGGATCAATAATGATGAGACGAATTACTGAAAATTCGAGTGGGCATCCATTAAAGAACTTGAAGATTCTTACAAATGACGAATTTTCTTGTGATGCTTGTTATCAAGGAAAAATGATCACTAGACCATCACCAATGAAGGTTGGTATTGAATCCCCTGCCTTTTTAGAGCGTATACATGGGGATATATGTGGACCTATTCACCCACCAAGTGGATTGTTTAGATATTTTATGGTCCTAATAGATGCATCTAAAGATGGTCTTATGTGTGCCTACTATCATCTCGCAACCTGGAGTTTGCAAAGCTATTAGCCCAAATGGTGGCCCATGCAGGTCACAATTCCCAGATTATCCTATAAAGGCTATTCGCCTTGATAATGCTGGAGAATTCTCATCTCANAGGGATCTTTATCCATTAATCTGCCTAAATAGAAAGGGTCTTAAAACGCTTTTACATGGACAAAGCGCACCCATTGAGTACACCAATGATTGTTCGATCACTTGAAGTGAATAAGGATTTGTTCCGACCTCCAGAAGAGGACGAGGAAATCATTGGTCCCGAAGTACCCTATCTCAGTGCAATTGGTGCACTAATGTATCTTACTAATGCTACGAGGCCTCACATAGCATTTTCTGTTAATTTACTAGCAAGATATAGTTCTTCTCCTACACGGAGACATTGGAACGGGATTAAGCATATATTGCGATATTTAAAGGGAACTCTTGATATGGGTTTGTTTTATGCTAACAAAGATAGTGCAGACCTTGTTGGTTATGCAGATGCAGGTTATTTATCTGATCCCCATAAAGCTCGATCTCAAACCGGCTACGTATTTACATATGGAGGTACTGTCATATCATGGCGCTCCACAAAGCAATCTATTGTTGCTACTTCTTTAAATCACGCTGAGATAATATATATTCATGAAGCAAGTAGGGAATATGTATGGTTGAGATCAATAATTCATTTTATTCGAGAAAAATGTGGTTTGGAATGTGAGAAAAGACCCAC